ACATACTGGTAAAACTAATATTTTGCAGAACATTATAAAATTAAATTATAGAAAGTTTAAAGTTATAAATAAAGACAATATAAAACAGATCTTGTATCTTTTAATTGTAAGTTAGAGTAACATTTCCACCTTTTCTTGCAAATTTGAAGATATACACACAGAGAAAACAAACAAAAGAGTTGAAGTAAAATAGCACCAGTCTTCTGTAGTATGGAAGTGAATAGCTTGACACCTCCTCCCTTGTCCCCCACCATTCTAAAAATCAATTATAATGTTGTAAAATTTAGCACTTCAAGCTTAGGGAAATCACAGCTGAGAAACTGCTTAAAGGCTGCTCCAATTCAGAAATGCTACATTTTGCTATTTGACAGATTTCTGGATACCAAAGTTCCCTCTCCTGAGCATCACAACCTAATCACTGCATCTCTTTGGACAAGATACTCTCAGTAAGCATCTACTCCCTGGGCTGCACCCAACTTGCACACAATTCACATTCTTGCATGAGAAGCTTTCTCATGTCACATACCTGCCCCCAAACACATGCACAAACAACTTTAAAGCCATCATTGTTTCCTTAAAAACAAAAATAGTTGTACAAGACATGAAAACAAAATATCAGAAGAGTAATAAATCTGAAGAGTTCTTTACTTCTCCTGATGTATTCATACACTAATGCATGGTCTTTATTAAAATTATGCAGAACCTTTGTAGTGGAAAGTGTTTAAAATGTTCATCGCTCAATACAGATGTGATTTAGCTGACTTTCAACCCATTATCTAAGACCTTTGCACAGCTTCCTGGATATTGATACTTCCACTAAGACTTACAGGTTTGCTGCTTCTAACAATTGGTCTTGGAAAACTTCCTTTGGGTGTAATCATACCTCACCGAGACAGGAGGGACCTCTTTTTTCTTCCCTCCTTTAGCAAAAGAGAAGTGAAAGAAGAGAAGAAAAAACTCTTAAGTTGGGGGGGGGGGGGGGGGAGGAGAATGATTGGGCAGCAATTAGAGAGAAGATCTAAACATCAACCATCTCTTGCTGTACATTGATTTTTGTTAACATCTTTTGTAAAGTTTAACGCCTCCACAAATTACTGTTTGCTACTAATCACAGTCACTATTTTGCCTACTTCTCAATACTTAGTCAAGTATTAAGCCCTTAAGTACAAAAGAAGTCCTCTTAAAAAAATCACTGAAACTGTACCTGTTTACACTTCAGGGGAACGTGTCCCATTTCTTATGTCTTTTTCCCTTGAAGTACTGAAAAGGGAAAG